GGAAACACGTATGTAATCACCGCGGGGATAAAAACCTCCAGATAAGAATGTCCTACCAGATCCCTAGATATATATGACTTTGCTGGGAATTATATCTATATTATGTTCTTTTTTAAAAAATTTGCTTTATTTGTTCCGGTGCTTTTAAATTTCCATCTCATCTCATCATGGGGTCAGCTGCATGAAAATGACGGTGGGTACTAGGTACAAACCTCCCCCGCCAGATTTGTGTGATAAAGAAAGTATCAAATACCTTCAGTGTTATGTCCCACATCGTAGCCCAACTTAACTGCCACGGTGAAATATAAGGATCTAGGTGCCAGCGGATAGTATGTACATCATCTGACTATTTCACTCCATGCCTTTCGTGAAATCTCATAGCAAACACCTACTAAGGTGAACAGGCCAAACTTGGGTATAAAAGCCAAGTGAACTGAAACTTTGTGTAATTTACGATCGATCACGTGTGCAATGTAGCCTCAGGCATTAAATGACGTTTCTTGTATGCAGTTCTGAGCTCGTCTACTTTTGTAATACAACGATCAGGTGCACAATCATAGATCACATCATCTTAGAGAAACCGCTGAAAAGCCGTGTGCATGACCAACTGGGCGGGAAAAGGTGATATGACAAAAATATGACGAAATAACCCGTATCTACGTAGTCTATATCAACATTCTTACAGACTGCGATTAATTTCCATTTATACGCACAACTATGCATGGCCTAAAATTCAGATGCTAATTGGACTTATTCGGTCAAAGTTTTTATCACTGCCTAGAGTATACTTCATCTACAATCAGTTCACGAAACCAGTCGGATGATCCTTCAGTAAGTCCAGCATGGAAAAGTTCCTACTAAAGGCCCTGGTTACCCAAGTACGCTAGCAATCAGGGAAATTTTACCGTATCCGAGCTATTGATTTCTAGATAAGTGTATGATACATTCTACCTAGGTTATATATAGGGTGCGCTCATGATAATACAGAAGCTTGGTGTGGTAACGGGGGTCAATACTCTGGCGTTTCCTACTTTTATATATAAAGAGTCTAAAATGCATTCGCTAGGTAGATATCCTAGTGGTAGTGGCCAAAGTGAGAAAAGGTCTAATAACTCGCTTCTCGGGGTGATTTCCGTTTTCTGTAGGGGTCTAATATCGGTTTTTGGTTAGTTCTCTATATATTTGTAGGTTACTTGGTTAAACATTCCGGTGTTTCCGTTAGGTTAATAGAAACGCGACAACCACTTCAATATTCTAGAAGGCATGGAGGGGAAAACTTGGTCAAGTATCTTTATATGAGAAGTACACTGCTAACCCTCTCATCTTTTTCCTTGTTTCACTAGACGGCCTAGTCATCTAGATTACTTATTCACATTTTAATTTACGGTTTATGAGACCTTTAGACGGAACGAATGTGATAAATGTCACTATTAAGCTAGTTGTTATCCATAGATGGCTCCAATTCATCACTTTGACGAGGCTGCGAGAGATGGAATTGACTACAAGGTGCAATAATGGTCTCACCTATCACAGCACAGCCTTTATATTCCTTTGTGAAGCTCCTATGGTACATATACACCGCGTTAGTAAAGGGAAATCCAGTAGGCTTGTGTTTTTCAGCGTCGAATGAATGCACGGAAATAAGAGAAAGACAAGTACAAGAAAAACCGCATTATTAGACCGCGGACACACTCCGATCAACAACAATAGCCGCAACAATAACATCAACAGAGACCGCACCAAGGGTTCCAACGCCTCCATCCGTGGGCACGGCGCCACCCGTGGTAGCGGCCGCACTATCGACCTTTACACTCCGGTTAAAGTTTACGTGGTGCGCCACTTTTGGAGCGAGACAACGCGCTGGTGATCTAACAGTGTCCGACAGTGACTACTGTTGGGATGGTCTGTACCCTTTCTACCCGAAACAGCATATTCGTCTAGTCTATGGGGTATAATTCTGTAGGCGATCTTTCGGTGGTCATTCTTCATTCCTTCACCGGACGGCTGGTCTTACCAAAGTACCGGGGATTTCTCTCCAGTCCAAGGCTATATACATGGAAAAGTCAGTTTATGCTTTTTACCGTCTTTGCATACTTCTAAAATGACTCGCAGAGAAAAAACATATTGTAAATAGTTATTACACAACTACTTAAGTAGATTTCCCCATCGGTTTAGATAATTTCAATTTTGTTTAATTGACTGGGTTAGGATTGACCTACCTTTGTTTCAGATTGCGTTCATACCATCTGATGTCCCTGCAGATCTGCAGATCAGAGGTTCTCGAGTAGCCTTGATAGCACTATCGGCGCAATACTGGATAGTACTTGGCATTTCGCTACCAAGATGACCACCCCACACCCAGGGGCAAGGAAGGGGGCCGCACGCTAAAACTACTTAACTCAAAATAATTACCGAATGCGATCTCTAAATGTAAAGTCAATGTGGGTCTGCATTAAACTGAGAATCAAGTCCAACTATCCAAAAGACGCGTACGGAGTATATGAATGTGAGATAAAAGGCTTTCTCCTCAACTACTCTAAACTACGCTTATATTTCGACTGAATCCTATGAACCATGTATGATGAAGGACGTAGTATTAGAAGTCATAACTTTATCCCAACTACATAATATATTCTGATAAGTTCCGTTCTTGAGTTCATTGGATGAATTTAGCTTTTAACCGTGCAGCGCTCAACCGTGCGGCCCAAGCCCGGAAAGGCAATGCGGGTACAAAGTCCGCCTCGATTATACCTATGAAGGTAATTGTCCGAAGAATCCCCTGCCCAAGTGGGGCAACGTCATGTACAAGATTGGTCATGGGCTGAGTGTAAAGAGTCTACGTCTTACGGTGGATAAATTAATAAAAGAAACCCTGGTTTATGTCGTAATGTATCAAGTTGTAGTTTCATCTTGATTTCAAGGGTCCAGACGTGGACTACATTCACATATCAGCGACATGTCAAACTTATAAGAGAGAAACATGTCGCATGTAACATTATCAGCACCCAACTATCATTCATTCATTCATCCTTTCTTCTTCTAGCTCTTGTGTTCCATCATGTTCACCAGACTTTCGCTGTTTTCTCTTCTTGCCTCGACGCTGGCCGCCGGGTTGTCCTACGACAACATTGACAAGGCTGCCACTCCCCGGGCCAAGGAGCTCCTCAAGTATGTTCAGTCCCAGTACGGCTCGCACTACATTGCTGGTCAGCAGGAACTGTCCAGCTTGGAATGGGTGAAGGAGAATACCGGCGTCACTCCGGCCATCCTGGGCACCGACCTCATGAATTACTCGCCCTCTGGCGTTGCCCACGGAACCAAGAGTCAGACTATCGAGCAGGCCATCAAGTTTGACAAGGAAGGTGGTATCAACGCTCTTGTCTGGCATTGGTATGCCCCCAACTGTTTGCTCGATACCGATAAAGAGCCGTGGTATAGCGGATTCTACACCAAGGCAACCTGTTTCAATGTAGCCAGTGCCCTTAGCCGCCGCGGGAACGGAACGGACCACCGGCTATTGATTCGGGATATCGATGCTATTGCAGTACAGCTCAAGCGTTTGTCGGATGCAGATGTTCCGATTCTCTTCCGCCCGCTTCACGAGCCGGAAGGTGGATGGTTCTGGTGGGGGGCTAAAGGCCCAGCTCCCTTCAAGAAGCTCTGGGACATCGTCTACGACCGCATCACCCGCGTGCACAATATTCACAATATCGTGTGGGTCTGCAACACCGCCGATTCCAAGTGGTATCCCGGAAATGACAAGTGTGATATTGCCACTATTGACTACTATGGCGACGCTGGTGACCACGGTGTTCTCGGAGATAAATTCCACGAGCTGCAAAATGTCACTAAGAGTGAGAGAGTTCTTGCGCTGGCGGAAGTTGGAAATATCCCCGATCCTGAACTTCAGGCTAAGGAGCACGTTCCCTGGGCCTACTGGATGACCTGGAACGACGAGTTCATCAAGGATGGGAAGCACAACTCCCAGCAATTCGTGAAGGACACTTTCCACAACAAGCGCGTTGTTACCCTCGATGGTACTACAAAGGTTAAGAACTAAAGCGGGCTTAGACCTTAGTCAGGGAACCATAGGTCTATGATCTGTGACAATGTTTTTCTAAGCTACACCCCTAGTTGGGTGTGGATTGAGGTTCTTTTCACATGTATTGCACAAGGCTTTGTTCAATATTGTCTTGGGTGTCCATTCTTTTGTTTCAATGTTTCTTATTGCTCCGCGTGGACGTTGTGGGTGTCTATTTGTCCCGTGTTTACCCATTATACTTTCTATTATGATGCCTCATGTGAGTGATTACATGTGGCAGGCTTTCTACCTTCGGTATTATAGAGAGATAGTTCATTTTTCCTTTTTAATTCACCTATCTCTCTCTTTTCTTACTTGCTTTCCTAAAACGTAACTTCAGTTGTTTCTTTCGCTTGATTATTTTACTCGACTAAAACACCACGTTAATCCAACTGGCCAAAATGCTTCAAACATCAGGCGAACTAAAAGGCTACTTGATTCAAGCGATTTAAGACGTTTTACATAGACGGATAGTTTACAAAATACATGTGCTTCTTATTGAATTTCAGTATTAATTCATCGGCTCTGCTATTTTACTCTATAATGCACATTTGGATTCTTATATCTCTGCCTATTGCTTTATCCTTTTACTTTTAATAGCTACCTGGGTAGTGATTGGGAAAAGGCTGGGAGCAACCCTTCGGGCCGGACGAACGCATCTACCCGTGGCCACCATCAGCAACTAAGATGGCGAATCAGACGTGTTCCAGTTCTATCTACTAATCTCCACATTAAACAAAGGTTAGATATACGAAAGTACGGACTGTGCTTAGAAATAACCCCCCTGCTCATTATAAATCCACCCGAGCTAATTTGCAGTCTGCTTCTTTTGATATCTCATATCTTCCTTATAATGCATCAACCGCAAGCATGAGCCAAATGTTCTATATCACAAGTATCATCTGTTCAAGGCAAAAGCATGGCGCCCTTTTCAAGCCTCTGCGCCACCCTAACCCAAGCATATCCTCCTGCTCCAGCTTTCACTGAGGCAAATATCCCCCCAGGCTCGCAAAATGGTCGTGTTTTTATTGTGACAGGTGGAAATGCGGGTATTGGACTTGAACTGTGCAAGATCCTCTACGCCGGCGGAGCAACTGTCTATATGGCGTCTCGATCCCAGGTAAGTCCAAACAGTTGGCTTTTTGCCCCAAAATCTACTAACCCTCTTGAACATGCAGGCCAAAGCAGAAACGGTCATCAAAACGATCACCGAGGCATCGACATCCAAGAATACCAGTGGTAAACTGAAGTTCCTGCATCTGGATCTGAACGATCTCTTGGTCGTCAAAGCTGCAGCAGAAAGCTTTGGGCAGCAGGAAGATAAGCTAGATGTGCTGTGGAACAATGCCGGCACCGGCGCTAACGCCGTCACGATTGGCCAACGCACAGCCCAAGGCTTCGAGCCTATGATAGGAATGCACTGTATTGCGACACTTCTTTTCACTAAACTCCTCCTCCCACAGCTGCGCGCCGCCACCATTGCTTCTGGCAGGAGTGGCAAGACTCGCGTTGTCTGGACATCGAGCGCTCTGGCAGAGGTGGGCTCATCAACCAACGGCATCAATTTCGAGCAGTTGGACAAAGGAACAAATAACCGCACTGAGAACTACGGGGCATCCAAAGCGGGCACCTGGATCCTCAGTCGGGAATTTGCTCGTCGATACGCCAAGGATGAAATCGTCAGTGTTTGTCTGAATCCGGGCTTCTTGAAGACAGCTTCCTTCAATGGGACCCCTGCAGCCGTCATGTTCATCTTGAACAAGGTTGTCCTGAGTGATGCGATCTACGGCGCGTACACGGAACTTTATGCCGGACTCTCGCCCGACATCACGTTGGAAAATAGCGGTTCGTACATCATTCCCTGGGGTCGGATCCGCCCTAATGAGGCTACTCCACGACAGGATCTCATCAAGGCGGGGGGTACCAAGGAGGAAGGGGGTCTGGATTATGGGAGTAAGTTCTGGGCTTGGTGTGAAGGGGAATGGAGGAGTTATGTGTAGGAAATGAAATTTTTAGATAATGTAGTTTTTTTGAATTTAATTCGTTTTTTTATATGCGCAAAGATCAAGACGCAACTAGTTTTAAACAATACCTTTGTTAAGTCTAGCTTGTCCTTCCAGACCTAGGTCTGGTTAGAAGCAGGCAGTGTCTCTTCTATAATCTTATCATACTTGAGCTCAACCAGGAGGATGGCCGAACTTGACAAACTAGAGGTTCAAAGCCGAGGCACCTCGAAATGATATCAGTTCAGGTGGGCACCCAAGTCCACGGGTTCAGTGAGCTTATCTAATAAGCGGTCGTGCTCAGTTTTACTCCGAGGGAAAAGCGGCGAGGTCTCAGGACCAAAACGGAAAGGGAAAGCCAAGAAGTGGCTCGAGGCAATCCAGTCTACGTACCTGTACATAACTACATAACTTATTTACTTACGTAGGAAACAATTCAAGACTTCTCGTTTATTCTATACTTTTGCCAGCTCTTCCTAGCTTTGTCCCAACTATTAGTTAATTATCACCTCGGCCCATCCATCGCGGTTTTATTGAGCACTGGCCACGCGCGGTCTGGAATCGCTCCCAAGTCCGCTGCCTATCTGCCCTCACCTTCATCTTTCAATAATAACCTTCCAACCCAACCCGCCACCATGAACCGACTATTTGGCACAAAGAGTACAGGCCCCAAGCCGACTCTTGACAGTGCTATTAGCAATGTACGATGCCCGCACAAGCCCGATCCGAGGCACCCATCCCCGCCCCCTCAAGATAACCCCACTAACAATACAACAGGTCGACACTCGAGTTTCCAGCATAGATGTCAAGCTAGCAGCGCTCAACTCCGAACTCTCCACATACCAAAGCAAGATTGCCAAGATGCGCGACGGGCCAGGCAAGAATGCCCTCCGACAGAAAGCGCTCAAGGTCCTGCAGCGACGAAAACAATACGAGGCGCAGCGCGACCAGCTCTCCCAACAATCATGGAACATGGAGCAGGCGGGCATGATGCAGGATAATTTGAAGAATGTGATGACGACGGTGGACGCGATGAAGACCACGACCAAGGAACTCAAGAAGCAGTATGGAAAGGTCGACGTGGATAAGATCGAGCAGATGCAAGATGAGATGGCGGATCTGATGGAGGTCGGGAACGAGATTCAAGAAAGTATCTCCCGGGCCTATGATGTCCCTGAGGATGTCGATGAGGCCGAGTTGGATGCGGAGCTTGAGGCGCTGGGCGAGGAATCCATGTTTGAGAGCAGCATGAGCGAGAGTGCTATGCCGAGCTTCTTACAAGATGAGGTGGCGCCCCCGCAGTTTATTGATGAGCCGCCGGAGCAACATAAGGTCAAGGAGGCCGCAGGCGGACTTGGATAAGATTAATGTTAAAGCGTGCTTTTGTTTAGCGGCGACTAGGTGTTATTCTATGTCAAGACACAGGCAGTGGAGTTGATTGGGTGTTTATTTTAACTTGCAATAAGCTACACTCATATCATATTTGAACCACTCATTCCATCCATGCGTCATACCATAGCAATTAGCATACGCATTGCCAAGCTCCATGGATCTGTTTTCGCTGCAATCAGGGACGTGCTAGGCCATTCCTATCGTCCCAGGTATGCATCTTTTGTGTCATGCAAAGCATAACTAGAGATTAAGATGCTTTGCCCATTCCCACCAGCACCAGCAGAGCCATATTCATCACAACGATGAGTACCCACACAAGGACCGTAACCACCGAAGTGAGTAGGTTATTCCGCATCGGAACTGTCGCCACTTCAACTTCACCCTCTCGCCCAGAAGCTTCTTCAGTCCGAACGGTCATGTAGCGATTGAGACAAGTGAACCAGATAAGTGGCGCTGAGACAAATGGTAGAATAACACTCAAAACAACTTGACTCGCAGTCAAAGTCTTGTCAAGACCCTCCTTACCAACAGCCGCAGCAATGATAATGCTGGGAATGATACTGATCGAGCGGGTGATGAGTCTTCGGAGCCATGGTCGGATGGTCCAGTTCAGCATCCCCTCGCTCACCATTTGACCAGCGATTGTGCAGACGATTCCAGCGGAAATACCTGATAGTAGCAGGGCGAGAGCAAATACCAAGCCGGCAGCTGGTGCGATCGACTTGGAGAGCAAGTCGTGAATTCCGAAGAGGTCGGCATTGCCTCCGTCAGGAACGTCATAGAGAGCAGCACCCGCGACAATTAGGATTGAGCTGTTCACAAATAGGGCGAAAGTGAAAAGTGACAACGACAACTCGATGATCGAGTACTTCATGCAGCCGCGGATTGCGTAGATCGACGGGCGATATTTCACTTCGCCGTCGGCGTTTCCTAGAGGCACTGAAGTCTCCACATAACCAGAATTGACGTCGAATTCCTTGAGACGGGATTGAACCACGCCGCTACCAAGAAATAGAGAGTGTGGCATAACAGTGGCACCGAGGATTCCACAACTTTGGTAAAGACTGTAGGTGCGTTAGTAGCTGAGAACTTTGCGGGGCAGCGAGGAGGCAGATTAGACAGACTTACCCTTCTGATTGAACGATGGCTGAAGATGGCAGGTATCCGCGGAATACTTCACCAATTGGCTGGTCCTTTATGAGAGAGAGCTGGATGCAAAAGCAAACAACAACACCTAACACCAAAGCCATGACAAAGAACTCGAACAGTCGAAGTCCCCACATCTTGCCATTGGGTCGGTAGAAAATGAGAATGAAAAGAACATCCACCAATGTGATAGCACAGCCAGCTACCAAGGGGATATGCAATAGTAAGTTCAACGCGATCGCCGATCCAACCACCTTTCAAGTTTGTTAGTACGTTGAATTGAAACCCTCTAGACCAAAATGTGACACTCACCTCTGCAATATCAGTTGCGACGATGGCCGCTTCTGCGAGGATATAGAGAATAATCACCATCCATTTCGGAAGATGCTCTCGGCAATTTTCGGCCAGGTTCAGACCAGTCACAGAGCCCAACTTGATACACAGGGACTGCAGAAGAATCGCAAATAGGTTGGAAAGCAGAACGACGAACAACAAGGAGTACTTGAAGTCTGCACCGGCTGCGACATCGGTGGCATAATTTCCGGGGTCGATATAGGCGACAGCGATGAGGAAACCAGGACCGATGAAACGGCTGAATTTAGCCAAAATTCGAGCGCAGTTCAGAGTAGAAGACGTCAAGAAAGTAAAAAAAGGTTGGCGAGGTGATCCGCTGCTCCTCGGGGGTGAATCACCTCCCGAGTCGGCAGCGATCACTTCGCCGCTTGGCACCTTTTCTTTCCCGGGGTCTCGATCTTGCTGATTGTTGGGTCTGTCATCGATGGATAACGGATCATCCCCGGCTGCATTTGCAGAATTGGCATGTCTGCGATGGACTCTGGAATTGGCTAGACCATTGAAGTCATTCCGGGTAGTGGTGTCCGGACTGAAAGGGGGTGGACTCTGATTCCAGCTCGGGTTTTCGAGAGTGTCGTCAGTCCGCGAGGGGCAATTCATGGTTGCAGGCTTGGCTCAGTTATCTTGGCTCGGTTGGCTTGGCTCTCTGGATGTTGACGATTTCTTAGATCCAGCCTTGGGGTTCTGGAGTGCCAAAGAGGTCAATATTCAATGGGGTAACTTGTGGAAATCCCGAGTCCGAAACCGCCCGGTTTTTCGTCTCCGTTCTAGAACCCGCAATCCTACGGAGTATGTAAACCGGCCTTGTCTCACTTGGGTTATCGTTTGAAATCCCCACCGTGATTCTATTTTATGTCTTTTTACGTGGAGGGTTTTTGAGGTTTAAGTGCCTTAGTTTCCTACCGGAGATCGCAAACGATAGATCGAATTCCACTCAAACAGTAAACGGTCGGAGTGATACTTGTATGCACAGTCTACATAAAATATGGTCAGAAGATCTTGGAAAAAAAAAAAAAAGGTGGCGTAGAGTTACTCTACATAAGTGCATGTAAACACGATGTATTATTCTCAATTGGGCCAGTCCTACCGGCATCGGCACAGGTGAGTTAGATGTTTTGGTCAAGAATAACAAAGAGGATTGATAATTACAAACTATACCCTATAAGAGAATTGGAATATAGATATTGCTTCTTTTTCATAACATTCATATTTTCAAGTAGATGTATCAAGTGATGCCAATATGCCAATCAAGGATCCATCCAATATATCTACGTAGAGTCTATACAATCCCAGATTCAACAGGAATAACAATAACAATCAAAAACAAAACAAAGAAAAAGAACATGCAAGGACTGTATGCATACCTAAAATAACCCCAAAATGAATGGGCAATAGTACAATAATATGCAATATGACATGTCTGTCGAGTACATCGAAGGTTAATAACTGCGAATAAACCCCCATGTTCACCGCCGAGTCCCTTCGTTGCCCCTCGCAACCTCTTTACCCGCACGTTGTTTACTCCTCCACCATCAATCCAGCCAACCCCAAGGATCGTCTCATACGCTAAGTCGAGGCAAGTGGATCAATATCTTGATCCTCGATGACGGTTGCTGTTGGCAGCAAGACGCCGTTAATTCTTCAAATTCCCCAGCTTGCCCATCGTCTGATCTTTTCTTTTCCTTCCACCAGGCCTATCTGCTTCCCCGCCTTTTTGTTCTTTGTTGAAGTTTAAGGGATATACTTGACTATCACCCTTTCCTTTTTTTTGGTGCCCGCGTTGTTGTTTTATTCTGCGTTTGTTTCCACAGATCCCGTGAGTTCAAACTGCAACTACCCGTTCCCCTCCGCAGGTCTTCATCCACTTCATCTGCTAACAAGATGTACTTAGTTGCTGGTCAAAGAGGATAGCAATGGCTGCAAGTACCTCTGGTCCCCAAATCTTTGACGATGCGAACCGATCACCTACCAAACAGTCCATGTTTCGGGCCATAATGTCGTCCAAAACCCATAAACGAAACCAATCAGCCGACGATGCCGTGGCCCCGCGGCCTCTGCAGAGAAGCAAGCCAACCGAGAACATCCCTTTCCCATTCACAGAGGAGCCTGGTTTGATTGCCGGCTACCGCCCGCTCAGTGAGATTGTCCCCAATCGTGATGCGGGCGACCATGGAGTGGCCGGGCCAAAGATGGGTGGCAAGGAAATCAAAGGTGCCCTACATAAGAAGACCAAGAGCGCTGTCTCATTGAAGTCCCTGAGAAATTACATGGAGCGGAAGGATAGCAAATCGGATGAGGCGCCCGAGCAGAGTGAGGATCTGTCGCCGAAGAAGGCGAAATCATCCAACAGTCTCTCGGCCATCCTCAAAAGGTCCCAACGAGGAAGAAAGGAAGGCTCAAAGCAGAGTCGCGATAAGGAAAACCGCAGCCCGACTGACCTGATTGATAATATGCCATCCCCGGTCTGGTCGCAGGACTCAGCCTCGGTTCACAAAGAGCCTACTGGTCGTTCGAGACCGAACTCGACCGCCGACCTGAGGCGAACAGTGGCTGACGAAGTCTCTCTCTATACGCCCAAGGGCTACGGGCCAAGCCAGCAACGCAACTTCTATGACTACCACCAACCCTCCCTCGCCAAATCGAACGGTTCCAAGCCTCGCCCCAAGTCAGACATCCTGACAGGAAACCGCAAAATGAAGGATATCCTCGGGTTGCAGCGCGCACCTTCGGGAGAAAGCGACCCTGTTCGATCCGATAGTGCTTCTTCTAAGAGCAGAGGACCACCGAGTCCGCGAAAAACATCCCCGCCTACCATGAAAGAAGAACCCAAGCGGCTTTCTCGTGTACAGGCTGCTATCTCGGCATTCAATGCAAAGGAGCGAGATGCTGAAGTGCATCAACATCTGAACTCCAAGGACCTCGAAAGCGAGTTCGAGAAGCTGCTGGTTTGTTAACCCAGTCGTACTAGATACAATTTGAATTGCAAGGCTAACCTATCTTTAGGATGCGAGGAATATCCCTCATAACATGAGAGACAAGATGCGCTCGCTTGATACCAATATCAAGGCTGATTTTATCCAGAAAGATCGGACGGAGAACATCACTCCTCTCAGCACAGGAACCGGTGATAGCCGTCGAGGACGCGGCAAAGAATCCAAGGAAGACTCCCAGCCTCAGGACCGTAAAGGCTCTCGATCACGATCTAGGAGCCGCGGATTCACCTTCACGAAAGGCCCCTCGTCGCCTGGTAAAAAGTTGCGGCGGGATAGTGAAGCATCAAGCCGTCGTCCAAGGTCTGTAGATCTTTCCCAGCCTGTTGGTGTCTACACCACCCTTTCGGCCAATGCTTCAACAGCATCACTTGCTGATGCGGCTGCTGTCGATACCGCGGCGGATCCTTCCGACTTTGTGCATTACTTGAGAGAGATCCAAAAGCCTGAGATGGTTGAAGTGGGAAAGATGCACAAACTGCGTCTTCTCCTACGGAACGAAACCGTTCATTGGGTCAATGACTTCATCACGGAAGGCGGAATGGACGAGATTGTACAGCTTCTCTACCGCATTATGAAGATGACCTGGCGGTATGTAATCTATTTCCCTCCTCATTCCGACCAGTAACTAACCCGTTTTATAGTGAGGACCATGAAGACACCCTTTTGCACCAGGCATTGCTCTGCCTGAAGGCACTGTGCACTACATCTGTGGCCCTGGCACATCTCGCTTCCATCGAGGAAGAGCTTTTTCCCGCCCTGCTGCGTATGTTGTTTGACGAGGAAAAGAAGGGTCCCAGTGAGTTCACCACTCGAGGAATCATTGCAAACCTGCTATTCACGCAGCTCTCTACTGCTCCTGCTGGTGAATTGGCTACCAAGCGCGCTAAACAGATCCTTTCTTATCTGAAGGATCCTACGCCACCAGTGGATAACCAGCCGCTCGCCTTCATTGCCAATATTTACCAGTCACGACCCTATAGAGTGTGGTGCAAGGAGATCACCAACGTGACTAAGGAAGTCTTCTGGATTTTCCTTCACCACCTGAATGTGATTCCCCTCCCAAAGTCTGAGGACCTTTTCGGCGAGAAAACACCAGTAGACACTCGCCCTTACAATGAGCGCCACTTCCCAGTCCCTCGTCCTCCTGTTCCGGCTGCCCCATACGTTGGAGGCGTTGAATGGGATGCGACCAACTATCTCGCGGCACATCTCGATCTTGTGAACGGCCTGATTGCCATGCTGCCCACCCCTGATGAGCGAAACCAACTTCGTGATGAGCTCCGTGCCTCTGGTTTTGAGAAAGTCATGGGTGGTAGCCTACGTACTTGCAAGGAGAAGTTCTATTCTTCTGTGCATGATTGCTTGCGAACCTGGGTCGCAGCAGCAGCCGATGATGGTTGGCCTTATACCTTTGTGCGCGAGGGTCCGCCCCGAGCAGGCGAACCTGGCTCGCCCACCAAATCCCCCAAGAAGTCCGCACCAGGTAGCCCTAGAAAGGGCCTGATCGACGAGCGGCCGCCCAGGCTGGAGCTTGCTCTGGACTTCTCGGACAACCGTCCAGCTGCTGGTCCGACTACCCCGTCGGGCGACCTACGGAGCTGGCTTTAAGAACCGGGTGCACAACCCCCCGGTTCGATTTTAACGAATTTCCCATTCCTCTCTTGTCTTTATTTCCTATCTTTTCTTTTGCTTTGACACTATCATGACTCGGCGTTAGGGCTGGTCCTCAAGCAGCCCCATCCCAACTTATCTTGTTGGTATTTTTTGTTTACTTGACCTTCGGAGTTTATTGGTGATTTATTATTTCTGACAGGAGTTGGCATTCTTGGTGTTATTGGCATGTTGACTGCATTTCCTTGTCCAGAGAAGTCCTGCGGACATGATGTAATGAAGCCAAATATTGGCACAGGCGACGGAGCAGAAAGCGAGAGAGAGACGGACTGATGATTTTTTTCCCCTGTCTCTTTCTCCTTCTCTCCATGGTACAGCGACGCCTGTTCTTCCACAGGATTTCTTCATGACAAATGACCTATGAACAGATATGAGAATTGAATGAATCGACAGTAGTTTTTCTTATTAAATTTTGGGATTTTGGGGTTTTCTTGAAGGCTGTAGATACAAGTAGGGAATCTAGTTGAATATTGTACAAGATATTGATGTCAGACACAAATCGACATGAACTCCACTCCTAGCTCTGCTCAGACGCCGTATTATCCTTCTGATCCCTTCTCGGACCAGGAGGTGGCGCGCTGGAGAATATAGCCCGGATACCAGCAAAGAATTTCTCCCGAATCTATGAGGCGAAACCATGTTAGTCAAGATACAAATGCGCATAATCCCCAAGACACAGAGAACACTTACCGCATGGAATGCAGTATCATCTGTATCCCACTCCATAAATAGCACAGAATAGATAATGACAACTATAGCATAAAAAAGTCAGCATCTTGCTCAAAATCTATGGCACAATATCCACCGCAGGTTTTCACCCAATTCATCCCCAATCTCCAGACCCGCAATCTCAACAAAAAGAACTCACATCCAATAACAGCCCACTGTGCCAGCGTAACAGCCTTCATAAACTTCGGCCGGGCATACTTTAGCGCCGCGCGACGGCGGTACTTGCGCTCAAGCCGGAACTGGTGTTTCGGAGAGAGCTTGGACATATCCGGTGGCCATTGGCGCTTTGGCTGGTAAGGGCTGTAATAGACATCTTCAAAGGAGGGCGGCGGGGAGGAGTCTGTTTTGTTTGTGGAGAGGCGGAAGGGTGAGGGGTCTTTGGTTGGTGGTGATGCTGTGAAAGCTGTGAATGGAGTGGTGGTGAAGAGGCGGGTAGTGCTTGGGTTCTATTGGTACGGTTTTATGGTTAGTTTTTGTTTTGCTTTTGGGCTTGAGATATCATTGAAGAGGAGCGAAGAGCGTTTTAGGCTTATGCTCTGGCTTGGGTGTGCGTACAAGGTGCCATGATGGGCGGGTGAGTTGGAGCTTGCACGATGAGGCGGTTGTTATTGCGCTTGTGGGTGATGCGCGCACTGTTGAGGCGGTGGTTAGGGCGCGTCGGAACATGGGTGGTTTTCTGCTTGGTTTGGTTGTATTTTTGGTCTGGTTGGAGGAGGTATATTGGCTGGTGGTTCCTGGGAATATGGATGGTGAATCGCCCGCGTGATTCTTATCTTGGTCGATACTTTTGGCTTATAGTTCCTAATTTTAGTATTTCTAACATATCCTCCCCTGATAGCTCAGCTGGAAGAGCGCAAGACTGTAATTGCCCTGTTCTGCAAGGAACTTGTTATCTTGAGGTCCCTGGTTCGATCCCGGGTCAGGGGATTATTTTTGTGATTTTTATTTTATTTTCATTTGGCTATCTGTAGAAATATGATAGATAGTATGGTGTAAGATAAGAGTAGGGCTAAGTAAGCCCTCTGTGTTTATATAGGGACGTTCTTCCTTGCAAAGTTCCCTTCGTGAGATAACCAGCCCGTCTAATTGGACTACCTACAACTGATATCTTTGAACCCGCCCCCGGGGATTGTATATGGCCTTCTTTCTCTTGTAGATAAACAGGCTATCTGCGGTTGCAGTCCTTTGTTTTATTCTCTTTGAAAATATATGTTTTGATCTATCTTTGTAACTTCCTGGCTTCTAACCGATAGACACTACTATAGAAGGTGCCAAGGTTGAGGTTATATATAGTACAGCACAGCGCTAGTATACGAAGGATGCTTGGTTTCTGGCGCCCTGTGCCACATAAAGGGCCACAGGGCATGGGGTAGTTCCTCTATACTTTATTTTCGACTTCTTTTTCTTCTGCCCAGAGAATCAGACATGCTGGGATGTTGCTTCTACCTAAGGCATTCTATGTTGTTTGCCTGTTACAAGTGTTCCTCCCCCTAGTCTTTGTATCCTGGCAAATAGATTATTCGCCGAGTTGTCGATTGTCATCAGACTGTCCTTGAATCCACCTAAAATCTCAAGCAATGATTGATATTGACTGGCGCCCAATATCCGACGAACCAGCGTAATGGTGTCGGGCATAGCGACCTATTTCCGCGTGAGCATCATCGTTCTAATGACCCGCACCAACGTACTAGCCGTTCAGGCCAGATACCAAAGCTCGTGCAAGTTCCGCTTAGCCCTCTTCCCCTAGGCACTCAAAGCACGTACGATTTTAGCATATTCCTCAGACGACTTGCTTCCTTGCTTTTGACGACATATCTGCATCTATACGTCTATCTTGTCGACCACCTTACGTTCAAAGGTGAATTGCTCGATCGGGCGTTGCGAGAATTCTTCGAGGTTATCTTGGATCTCCTGTGGAAAAGTAGAGTTTCACATTCTCTCCGGGTGTCCCGGCCATGTCGAGATGGGAAGGATCAGCAGACGATGGGGAGATAGATAGGTTATTGAGGTCCGACATTAGGTATGAAATTTATAGCGTCGCCAATTGGGGATATCTGAAGAAGGTGCGAAGGGAATATCAATAACCTTGGTCTTCTTATGTCCCAAGGTAGGGGGCCGTAGGAGCGATGGCCAACCTATGGCGAAGAAGAGGCCAGGAGCAACCAATTCGAACTCCTAATACATGTCTAGTCAGGTTTCCGGGCATGATGAACCTTCAAAGGAAGAGATGTGTACTCCGTAGAAAGTATACACAACTTTTTAAGTTGCGGGAAACGCGGAGGTGCGGATCCACATCCCGTCCAATATATATATATATTATATATATATCTATACAATCTATATACATTTCGATGAACATAAAAGCGTAAGAATACCAAATCAAATAAACCAGAAGCTCGCAAGACCCCGATAAGCGAGGAACAAAATTGAAACATTGATAAACAATTATTCGCCTTCAACAAATGATATCTCCCACTGACTTTTTTTTTTCAAAGCCACTCTACCTTCAAAAATGATACATAGAGGAAGCGCCTATCTAGAAGTATTCGTATACTCGATTACCGTTATTTACTTGCGATTTCTAGGTTATAAAACCGGCCTCCGACCGTAGTAATTACTCCATATAATAACCTTTATAGTTAGAGTTAATCCTATTATAAAACCAGACTTATTAAAGGTATAGAAGAAAGGGTTAAATTACTTAATGCATTTTGGGTGAGGTGGCGGCTCGGTAGTGAAATACGTCACCGGCGAATGCCTGATTCGTACTCTGTGTACAGCGACAGGATCCACCGGGAAGGCTGTCAAATATTCACATCCTACCCAGAGCAGGCATCATTTATTTCAAACCCAACTATGACCCCCAGTGAGTGCTGTGAGACGATTCGTGATCACGGATCCAATATGTCGACAAGACTAACATGCGGTTAACGGACGAAAATATGTCCATGTCACACAATGAGTTTCCCCCGCGCGTCGACCTCCTCAAGTTGATGGCTCAGGATCCGCTTCCCCTGCTCGCCTCTGGAATGATAGATCCGGGTTCAATGGCAGGTGATGAACCAATTAAGCAAGCTCAAGTTGTATTGGATAATTTGAACAGCGCGCTGGCCAGAAATGATGCGGAGGCGCTCAAAGACTGCTTCTTCAAGGACCAGGCATACTGGAAGGATCAGCTAGCACTAACGTACCATCTGCGGACATTCAAAACACCAGACATAATTGCCGCCAGTCTGCTGGATACCAACAAGCTGAGGGCCATCAAGGAAGATATAACGGTCGACGGCGAGGCTGTATTTCTCCCGGCGACACCAGTTCTTGTGAGAAAATGACCGTTGGATCTGTGGAAACTGAGCCCGGTGAAGGATAGCTGACTTTTCATACACAGCAATTCATTGACTGTGGAATTGCCTTCCAAACTAGCTCGCCAGCCGCCACTTGCAAAGGAAAGGTGGTGCTCTTGCCGGTCAAGGGCGCCAACGAGACAGTCGAGTGGAAGATCTGGGTCCTGAGTACTATTTTGAAAGAGCTGAACTTGCAGAAAGAGAATGAGACCTTACTTCTTTCTCCCGGCAGACAACTCGGTGGCATTGAGAGCTTTGAGACTGATGTTTTCATAATTGGAGGCGGAAATGCGTAAGAAGCCGAGAAAGTCTCGGAAAATATCCATGCTAACCTGCCACTTGATGCTAAAGAGCTATAGCCTTTGCCGCACGCCTTAAAGCCTTGGGGGTTGAGAGCATCATGGCTGAGCGTAATGCCCAGGCAGGGGATAACTGGGCTCTCCGCTATGACCACATGCAGTTCCATCTCCCCACCTCAGTATGCCACTTGCCCTATATGGGTAAGTTTCTCCCATCTTAATATCCGACTAAGCGTGACTGATATGAAATCTGGAAACCAGACTATGACAAGAAGCTTTCAACTCCCCACCGTCTGTCGAAAGAGGATTTGGCTTCCCAGGTACAACGATATGTCAAGGCTTTCAATCTCAACATGATCACTTCGGCGCAGATTCAATGGACAGAGTATGATCCATCGACCAAGAGGTGGATGGTGAAGTTCCAGACTCCTGGTGGTCAATGCACAGCAATCTCTAAACACGTTGTTATGGCCACAGGAATTGGATCCCAAAAAATGAATATACCATCGATAACAGATAGCCACCTATACAAAGGTATCAGCATCCACTCAGAGCAATACAAGAATGCCGAGAAACTGAAGGAGAAAGGAGCGAATGTAGGTGAAGCCCCAGCGAAAAATAAACTGGCGGAATTGAGATTGACCGTGCCACTTCCACTATAGTCAGCTATCGTAATTGGCTCTGCCAATACAGCTTTCGATATCCTCAAGGACTGCCACGCTGCAGGACTCCAAACAACAATGAACGTTCGTTCTCCGACGTATATAATCCCAGTGGAGCACATCGATCACCCAGCCAGCCTAGGCGCCTATGATGCTGGTGTTGAGCGCGGAGACAACATCTTTATGACACTCCCGACATTCATAGACGCCCAGCTCGCCCGCGACTTGCTTGCGCATCTCGCATCACAGGAGCCGGACCGCTACAAAGCTCTGGCAGCAACTGGATTTCCCGTTCTGGAAAGCACCAGCCCAGAATGTGCTTTGATGCAGAACCTGATTGAGAGTGCTGGTAAACACTATGTCGATGTGGGCGGTACCAAGCTACTAGAAGAAGGCAAGGCTAGTATCAAGGCTAATGTTGAGCCTATTGCATACACGGCGACGGGGCTGCGGTTCTCGGATGGCAGCCATGTTGATGTGGATGCTGTCATATGGTGTACTGGATTTGCCGATAAAAATGTGCGAGAAACGGCTATTGAGATCCTGGGTGGCTCTGCAAGTCAGGCTTCCAGCAATTCCCAGAGTGACAAGAATGGCGTGGACAGCATGGGGGGCGAGGCCAATGGTAAGCAGAAGCTCGGTCCTCGCGAGATTGCTGCTTGCATTGACGCCACATGGGGTGTTGATTCCGAGGGCGAGATCCGTGGCATGTGGAAGAGGCAGTCACGCCTTGATGGCTTTTGGGTAATGGGTGGCTATACACAGCAACACCGGTGGCACTCGCGGACGTTGGCGCTTCAGATCAAAGCTGCGTTGGAGGGTATTTTGCCACCGGCTTATCTGGATACGCCCATGTCGAAAAATTAATGGGTTTATACTTTTTTGACCAAAAAATTAAGTCTTCCAAAGGTAGGAATTCGGTTGAAGGGGATTCATGAACAAGATCTGGCTGCATTAGACTATAATTTTCAAATAGGCAAATCAACCAATCACATCCCCTGATAGCTCAGCTGGAAGAGCGCAAGACTGTAATTGCCCTGTTCTACAAGGAACTTGTTATCTTGAGGTCCCTGGTTCGATCCCGGGTCAGGGGATCATTTTTTATTTCTGCACATGTATTTTTGTGCTACATCACAAACTTACCTGTCTAGTGCTGATTGTTCACAAAACGAACTACTTTGAACCAACACAATGACCGCAAATTCCTCTACGGTCGCGGATATCAACCTCTTATCAGAATTTCTCAGCGACAATCAATTACCCGATCTCTCCATCACATCCCCAGTCGACTGCATTGTCATATGCGCCTCAGCTGTTCTCCACAGTGCCGAGGTTCTCTTCAAGACTCTTCAGCAAAGACCATCTCTTACCAAAGCTCTCGTACTATGTGGCGGCATCGGTCACTCAACCGAGCTGCTTTATGATGCAGTGAAATCCCATCCTGTCTTTTCCAGGATCGCCGATGAGATCCAAGGTCTCCCCGAAGCAAAAGTTCTCGAACGAATTCTAGATGACTTTTTCGATCGATCTCTCATCACCAAAGAAGCATGTCAGATTCTCCTTGAACCCCGATCTACGAATTGCGGGCAGAATGCTTCATTCTCTCGCAAGGTCCTTGATGAAGCTGGCTTTCAGGCACCAGCCACTTGCATTATCATTCAGGACCCTACGATGATGCTCAGGACCAAGGCATCATTTGAGAAGGCTTATGAGGATACCCAAACTCCGGTCTCGATTGTTAGTTGCCCGGTATTTGTGCCGCAGGTGCAATTGTCCCACAAAGGAGTCATTGAGTATTCAGACATATCGCCACCGTCCGAGTTGTGGTCACAAAGTCGGTTTCTGGAGCTGATAATGGGCGAGATACCGAGGTTGAGAGACGATAAAGATGGTTATGGTCCTCAGGGGCGTGGTTTTATTGCTCATGTGGATGTTCCAGGCCATATTGAAGCAGCTTGGTCTCGACTACAAGTGGTGGCTAAGAGCTCTAGATAGGGATAGAGATACCAAGTGCCAGTAAAGAACACGAAACAGAGACATTGTATGTACTGTATGCATTGGAAGTTATGTATGTACATAATTAACGGCGATATTATGGGAACCGAGGCATCAAGATGCAGATCCCGTGCACGTACCTGCAATGCAAGTACGGGCGTAATGCCATACAACATAGCAGTTGAGGGTGAACTTGCAGGTGGTTTCAAAGGGGGGGGGGGGGGGGGTTTCTTTTTTTTAAAAAAAGTACTATAATTAAAGAAAGAATATAAAAAATAATCCCCTGACCCGGGATCGAACCAGGGACCTCAAGATAACAAGTTCCTTGTAGAACAGGGCAATTACAGTCTTGCGCTCTTCCAGCTGAGCTATCAGGGGAGTTCGTTGTAGTTAGCTACTACTACATTTATTTATGAAGTACATTGCTGTGACAAAAGTACATATGGATTCAGCCTTTCCTTATTCGTGGAGACGCACCCCGATATTGACATCATGTTGAGAAGCTCCGGAATAAATAGCTTATGTAGACAATATCTGAAAACATATTGAATATATGAGTAGCCTCGTGCCGAGCTGATCTACTTACATGACGTCGCAAAATATGAGTCCGACATCCCCACGCGCATGTGATATGCAATCCCCCGATTTCACATGCCCCTGTGATCCATCACTCGGAGATCCCGTGACTGTCATGGATCAACGATGATGCGGCCAGATGGACCTCGGTACTTCCTTAGAATGCGACAACGGCCAGCAGCGGACCGTCCAAAAGGGAAATATCACCGATTCCACGGGCCTGATTTATAAACCATCGGTTCCCCGGATATCTGGGCTACTTTACTATCCTCATTTTTCCCCTGTTCTTCACCATCACACCTCTCCCATACCTCCATCACACATTGACGTCATGTCTAACGGTGAGTGCTGTGCATGTGATCACCCATGGCTATGTATTCAACAAAATGCTTGGCTTATGGTTGCCTGTTGGAAGTTATAATCGAAATAGAACCAGCAAGCTAATTTCTATCCATAGCCCAGCAACGTCTCAACCAGGTTTCCTCCCACTTCGGCCCTGGCGGCAAGAAGGGAGCCGCCGCCATCATCGAGAAGCACCCCGATGACATTGTCGTGACTTGTGCCCTCCGCACCGCCCTCACTAAGGGTGGTAAGGGTGGCTTCAAGGATACCGCTGGCGCTGACCTGCTTGCCGGTGTCTTCAAGGCTGTTCTGAACAAGAGCGGTGTTGACCCCAGTGCCGTCCAGGACATTGCCGTCGGCTCCGTCCTTGCCCCCGGTGGTGGTGCCACTGAATTCCGTGCTGCCGCTCTCGTGGCTGGTTTCCCCGAGAGCACCGCCGTGAAGAGCTTGAACCGTCAGTGCTCTAGTGGTCTCCAGGCTATTGCCGATATCGCCAACGCCATTCAGTCTGGCATGATCGATGTTGGCATTGGTGCCGGTGTTGAGAGCATGTCCTCCCAGTACGGGTATGTTTCAAGCACCCGGAATTCCCTCCTTCGATAATATGGGCTAACAAGTCGATGTAGACCCGGTGCCGTGACCGAGTTCTCCGACCTCCTCGAGAGCCACCCCGAGTCCGCAAACTGCAAGGTTCCCATGGGTGTCCTGTCCGAGAACATGGCTAAGGACCGTGGCGTGACCCGTGCCTCCCAAGATGCTTTCGCCGCTCACTCATACCAAAAGGCCATTGCCGCCCAGAAGGCCGGTCTCTTCAACGAGGAGATCGCCCCCCTGGATGTGAAGTGGACCGACCCCAAGACCGGCGAGGAGAAGACCATCACTGTTAAGGCTGATGATGGAATCCGCCCCGGTATCACCGCCGAGTCCCTGGGCAAGATCAAGCCCGCCTTTGCCAAGGACGGCTCCATCCATGCCGGTAACGCCTCCCAGATCTCCGACGGTGCCGCCGCCGTCCTCCTCATGAAGCGGTCCACCGCCGAGCGTTTGGGCCAGAAGATTCTCGGCAAGTACGTCGCTGCCAGCGTTGTCGGTGTCAAGCCCCTCCTCATGGGAATCGGCCCCTGGAAGGCTATCCCCGTTGCCCTTGAGAAGGCCGGCATCACCAAGGATGATGTCGACATTTACGAGATCAACGAGGCGTTCGCTTCCCAGTGTGTCTGGTGTGTTAATGAGCTCGGAATTCCTGCCGAGAAGGTTAACCCCAAGGGTGGTGCTATTGCTTTCGGTCACCCTCTTGGCTGCACTGGTGCTCGCCAGATCAGCACATTGTTCACTGAGCTCAAGCGCACAAACAAGAATATTGGTGTCACCAGCATGTGTATCGGTACCGGTATGGGTATGGCCGCGGTCTGGGTGTCGGAGTAAACGAAATTTATGTTTCGATTGTACATTTGCACAGCGATTTGGCTTTTTAGCCCCCTTATTTTTTTCTATTTCAGATACACAGATTTCTCGTTATGTATTGAATACTACGAATACCAAAAGATTGGAACTGCATATATATGCTTGGCTAAGTTTTTGCTCCACATCTGATAACAATATTGCCGTAAATTACCTACTGATGCTTGTGTTTGCCTCGTCTAGCCTTTCCAATCCGTCGCCTACTATATAATCTGGTTATATGTACTATATACACCCAGCTGAAGGTAGGTGATCAGCGGAATTTCTTAAAAGCATCAGTGACACTCATTCCCTGTGCAACAGCCTCCTTGGCCTTCTCATCCATTGCAGTCAGTTTAGGCATAAGCTCAAGCACCGGACTAAGTAGCTCGCGAGGAATGGCAACTACTCCTTCCAAGGGGTCACAGAAGATGATGTCTCCCTATAATGCATTTCAATGATCAGACTATGAATTCCACCGTGAAACAATCAGCGAACAGCAATACGGCAACTCACAGGCGAAACAGTAACACCTCCAATTGAGATTGGTATATCACGAGCACCAGCCTTGGCCTCGGCACTTGTGCCAACGGTAGAATTAGCACGAGCGAATATCTATTATCAAGTAAAAACGCAATCAGTAACGCTACCGGCAAAACCATGAGAGATCAAGACAAACCGGAAGGCCAGTAGCCTTTAATTCCTTCAGGTCCCTGACACGGCCACCCACAACCGTGGCTTTGATCCCGAGAACTTTCATCCGGGTTGCCATGATCCCGCCCGTCACAGCGCAGTGCTGGTTGTCAGGCTGCTCGATGACGACGATGGATCCGGCGCCGGAAGGATCCGACGCTTGGAGTTCGCCGACGTAATCCACCCAGTGCTTACCTGGCGGGAAGCCGTGCTTCTGGGGATTTTCTGTTGCGATTGATGGTGGGCTGGCGTCTTTGGCTAGAAATTTGAATGTTGTTGCCGGGGCCGCAATTCTGGGCATTGTTTCATTCCTTCCTGTTGTGGGAGAGAATGGTACTGACGGGGTATATGTTAGTGGGATTATTGGGATAATAGATAGAGGCGTTGGAGAGCGTTGTATTGGTGGCTTACCTAGGTCTGTGAGGTAGCCTGCTCTTGGTGTGCTACCCTCGGGCGTCTTTTGTAGCTTGATGAGGGCATCAGATACCTGGATAATTAGAATGTTAGATGTGTTGTTCGATGGCTTATGGGAAAGCAATGCTGGCATACATCACAGGGCGAGTAGCTCTCGACCAATGTCGCAAGTTGCTCGTTTAGCGTAGCCATTTTGTCTAGATGCGGGTTTTCACGATGGAAAGGGCAATGTTCTGTTGAATTTGTATAGATAATTGTACTGTACAAAGAAGAATTTAGACAGGAAGTAATAGAGAAATATGATGGAAAGTCCCATTCGCTGATCAATCGAAGGCACATGTCCGTAGGTCCGGATATCGGATGAATACTACATCATCGGAGATCTATAACTCGGAGCGTTGAAAGGCACGTTTCATAAGCCTATTGTTTGGTTTTGAGATGGTGAGATACTGGCTGTCATCATATCTTTATATATATATATATATATGTTTACATATTATGTATAAAACTGTCAATGTCCGGATAGTTCTGTTTTTCACACGGGACAGTCATAGCCGAGGTGATGGATAAGAATAACGTGTCTTCCGCATGTACGACTTGCAGGAAACGTGGGGTACCAAGTGATTTTCGGGGAAATATACCTTAAAAGCAAAGCATAAATAGATGGCTAATTAGTAGTTACTCCAAGTACCGAGATTTCTGTCTTCCATTGCCGATGTTCTACGTTAGGGATTATTTTCTCCAGTTAAGGCGGGGACTTTACGATATAGCAGGCCTCTAAAATTTGGAATCAGCCTATCTACGATGTATTTTCGTTGAAATACAACGTAATGCGAGTAATGCTGCAGATAGAAAAAGATAAGCGCATTCTACGATATATATATACGATAACAGCTATAATACGATAACTATATATGGATATATACACCCAAGCAGACTGTCTACAACCTCTGAATTGTGCACAGAACAGGGGCATTTTCCTAACATAGCCGGATACTATAAACCGTTGTCGCGGAGGCAACCTTGGATGTGGAGAATGTGGGGAGCCAAGTGAAAATTAAAATTGGTCATCAACTGGAGGAAATGGAATAATTCCGATCTTTAACCTTGCTAGCCGTGGATATAGACAGTTCATATATCCCTCGAGCACAGCCTAAATAGCGAGGAACCCCAATAATGGCACATAAACCCACATATACCGATCAACAACTGGAGTTGTACCTGAAACGCATCGGGTATTCCCACTCCGCTCAATCCGAGAGCAACCTTCTCCAGCATCTCCGTCAGGATATCGAGAACGATGCACTTTCTGCGCTATGTCATCTGCAAAGACGACATCTCGTTGCCATTCCATGGGGCAACTCAGGACTGCATTACTCGCAGCATCATACTATCTCTCTGCATCCGCAGAATCTCTTTGAGAAGATAGTGGAGCGGCAGCTAGATGGATACTGCATGGAGAATACGGGAATCTTCTTCATTGTTTTGCGGTCCCTGGGGTATTCTGTTTACGCCACTGGAGGTAAGGTCAGTCATGCTGCAGCGAATGGAGTGGATAATGGGTTATACTTGGCAGTGTAAGTTCTCCGACAGTTTAGCATTCTGAGCTTTTGAGCTGAGCTGACACCATTGATCCGGCAAAGTGGGCATATGATTTTGATTGTGACCATTGAAGGGGATAAGTACATGGTACGGCATGAAGATCTACTGCAGCTACCGCATGGACTAGACATACTAACGGATGAGGACAGGTTGATGTCGGGTTTGGAAAAAATTGTGCCACTGCTCCACTATTACTTCAAGAAGGTGCTACTGCTACGGCTATTGCGCCATCCGAGATGCGTCTTGTCAGAGAGAGCATTGCCGAGTTTACGGATCCAAGTCAAAAGATCTGGATCTATCAAACAAGATACAACCCCGAGAGTAAGTGGTTGCCACAAATCTGCTTTTCCGAGGTGGAATTCCTTCCACAGGATTTCGGGGTCATGAACTTCTTCGTCAGCCAGAGTAGAACTAGCTGGTTCACCCAGGCCTTTTTCTGCATGCGAATGATTTTGGATCAAACTGGAACAGAGATCATTGGGCAGTGCGTCATGTTGGGCAAAGAAGTCAAGGAGAGATTGCGCGGGCAAACGGAGATCTTGCAGGTGCTGGAGAGTGAAGAGGACCGTGTCAAGGCCCTGGCCAAGTATTTCGATATGCACCTTCGTCAGAGTGAGATCGAAGGTATTCGGGGGTTGACCTCGGAGCTCAAGTAGACATGATTGAGCGAACTACTAAGGAAATCCGAGAGAATAAATGATATGGTACAACGTTTCTAGAGAAATTGTAGTGGATATGTATGATCTCGATGTAAGAAAGGCGCAGACGTTGAACGTAAAGGAAAAGAGGTTGCAATTTTTGAAACTAGTAGATCCGGTTCTCGATCTATGTCTCGGGTCAGCGTTTCTGCACGGAGCTGGGAATCAACGGACACGGGATCTATTATTCATACCTTCCATGGGTTGCTGACTTCGAATCCAGTGGGCGCTTTGTGGTTGCTGGACTGCCCGCGGAATGACCCTGTGATGCGCTGATCTCTCTCCATCACTATTGTTGGTTGTGGTTAGTCTCATATAATTCTTCTCAGGCGCTTCTCGGTCGGCAGATAAACTAGTAATCACTCACTTTGCTGTTGAATTATTAGCCAATGTGCTCGAGGCAAGTTCCGACCGCCGCCGACAAGGATGGAACAACTTACTCTATCCCACAGGTCCTGGTTCCAGCGCGCCTTCTTACCATCGTTGGCAAAGCGCTTGACGTAGTGAAGACCGTATCCGGTCACACCGAACATCTGTAGCAATTGGTGAGCTATAGTCCTAGAAGGCATTGACCAATGGGACGTACGGTCATGATAATCCCATAGGGAAGCAGGGCCTCGAAAGGGACACCCATGGCGTGCGGGAGTATGGGTATGTAGGTAATCGGAAAAGAGATGTCAATTTAGAACCAAGAGCCGTAAAGCCTCTTATAGACTGAGGAGAGTAGATCGATCGCGGAGAGTGTGGAGGGGAGTGTCTCTTCCTACAGCGACGGGCTTGAGGTCTCCCCCACCCAAAATGGTTTAGCCTCCGCTGACTCAGCACGCTGCAACGACACTCACAGGACAAGGGGCGTGAAGGCCGTTGCAGATCGCATTCGATTGTAAAAGAGACAGGCCTCGGTGTACGGACTGTCCTTCGACGCGTCTGGTACGCTTTTGAATCAAATATTGCACTGGTTTCTCTTGGGGTGAGTTTCCTCTGTTTTGCGACGCGCTTGCGATGTGTAGCCACTCCAGCGGCGGACTGACACTTCTTGTTTGTTTAGCTTCAACTTTGCGCCTGGAGACTTTGAGTGTCAATCCCGAACGATACTTGTGTTCGTAAGAATCTTCGGAACTATTTCAACCAGCCTCGAACCCGTTTTTGATCCAGATGCACCTCCGGATCAGCGCCGACGTCAGCGGGGTGCTTCTGTAACCGGATCGGTTTTAAGCTTCTTTCACGAAAAGGATACCTCAGTCAGCCTGAGCGCATACAATAAGCACTGCTGTGCTCAACCTGGCGGTGGCGGTGACTTTCACTATGGCGGCGACGGTGCCGCCAGCAAACGATGAACCGGGCAAACTTGACCCGCCTGTGGACCCGACCGATAGCGACCTAGATGCGGAGGGCGAAGAAGAAACCGACTTGTATGAAATGGATCAACAGCTTCAAGATGCCGTCCACCGAGCATACACTGGAGAAGTTGATGAGGATGGCCCGGAGGAAGCTGCGGATGGAAACAACTCAAGCGTCAATGGGTTGAACGGAGAAGAAGAAGACGACGACAATGACGAGGCTGAACCTGTTGGAGCTGTCAAGCTACCTGACGACGATGCGGGTTCTGAAGAAGACTATGCGGAGTCTGAGACAGCCGACGCGGATGCCGATCCCGGGTTTGAGGCAAATGACCGTGACGCATCAGAACCCGAATCAACTGACCACGAGTCAGAAGCCGAGGACTGGGAAGCTGAGAGCAATGGAGGCGAGGATGTCGAAACTGATATCCGTAGTGGCTCAAACTGCTTGTAAGTGGAAGGGCTCGATGCAGGACTGAGCACAGAATTAGGACGTTAAGGTACTAACAACGGACCAATAGGGTTTGCAGTCAAGACGAGGAACACGATCCAAGTGAAGATTTTGAGGAATGGCTCACTTGTGTTGTATGTGGTGATCACTGTACGTGTCGCTTCGTTGCCCTTTACCCTGATTATGTCGGACTATCGCTGACTCGACATCCTGACAGCTCATCGGCAATGCGCGCGCGAACAAGAAGCATATGATGAAACGGAAGGTACGCAAACATATGGTCATTGACTTCTGTCTCATCACCTTTTTACCTCTTTGATGCATTACACGCACTAACATCGCAACATGCAGACCCATGGAGGTGTCCTAGCTGTGTTCACAACAATCTAGAGCCCGACACGATAACAAATCCAGCGACAGAAACCGGACTCGGGGCATCAGCCCTTCCCAAAGAGCTTCTACCCATGCACGCTGGCACACACGACGAGGGATTCCATTCTATCTTCAACACAGGTGTCGACGACGAGATGTTGAATAGCTCGCGGTCGCTACGCAAGCGAAAGGCCTCGTCAATCGAGGCCGAAGAACACACACCTGTGCTTCGCAAAAGACTTCGACAAACTTCTTTCCGCTCCGATCACCCAATTTTGAATGATGCGGCCTTGGAGGGCGGGGATCCCACTGGTGATGGTGATGTCCACTCTCCTGCTCGAACACGTTCTGTGCGCGTGCGACGCACTCGTGCAGTGGACCGAGAGCACTGCCGCGTGGTAGCTAGGCAATTTGGGAAATTGATTATCGGGTTCCGGCTGGATGAAGCAAAAATGTCTAAAATAACAGGCTCTCAAATCCGCCCCGGACGCAAGAAGAAGAAAGCACCAAAGCCGCCACCTGTGGCCCCAGAACCCCAGGCACATTTCGTTCCCCTTCCCCCAATATCCTACAACTCCATGACTTTGTTCGACCGTGAGACCGACGACGCCAAATCAAAACCATATGGAGGCATTCTATCCGAAATCGAACAAGATACATCCAGGACACTCCCCACTCAATTCGATCGCGACCGATTCGAACAGGCACGTTTGAAAGCCGAAGATGAAT